ATGAAACTGTAGTTGTATTTTACATTTATGGATTCATTCCATTCTATATAGAGGTTCATAGGGCAATGCAACAAAACTCCTTCTCGTTCCAGAACAAAGGAGCGTTCAAAATAAATTCCCTTGTCTATACAGAGCTCTAAAAGTAGAGAAATAGTTTTTAAATAGTCAGAAGCATTAACAATGGAAAGTTATAGTTATATTTCTTTCTAAATTAAAAATATAATATGGCCTAAAATTTCACCTCGTCTTATTCTGCATTTTCTCTGAATATTTAAGATCATACAGAGAAAAAAAATAATTTCAGGTTTCATTTAGGAGCTGTTTTTTTCCAGAGTTGGCTACCAATTATTTTGATTATTAAATTCCTAGATGGTATACTTCCAATCAATTTTTGTATTAATTTGAAGCGTTTGATTCGTATCAAGGTATATTGAAGCTTAACTGCAGAATTCAAGTGTCAAACGCTGAATAGTGGAGTTAGTGATGACGAACCTATAAACTCATTTCAACATTCAATTGAGAATGAACTAATTTTAACCATTCAATTTGTAAGGCAAGGTCAAACCACTGAAATTACTACCCTAGTTATTCATATGTGGTGGTTAGATCTTAATCAGATTTCTTACAGAGGTGAATTCCATTATTTTGTAAGATTATTGCATTTGAGCTGGCCATACCACATGTTGCACTCTTATCCTTTTTCTTGTTGAGCGAAAGCTGCGCTACATCAACACATATTTTGGGCTGCATTTTAAGAAGTAAATAGCAAGAGGTTTTAGTAGATTTCTAAACATGCAAAACTAATTCCACATGATTTTATTTTTAATTATAAACTTTCCAAAGTGTTACACTGGAAATTAACATTTCTAATACACCTACATAGACAATTACTGCAGGATGCTAACCACCTACACACCCTCCTTCAGAGGATAGGGGAAATATCAGACTAAGAAACAATGCTTGATTGTTCGAGGCTGCAAACTCTGTCCCTTCTTTCATACTTTACCATTAGTCCACATGTCTGCAGTGTCATTCATTGGTTGCAATAAGGCTGAAGTCATAACCAAGTGTATGAAGAGCAAGATAAGAAGTGCAGCAGTCATCTTCCTGCAATTTCAGATCGAAAAGGAAAAATAACCTTTCTATAAAAAGACTACATCATTACAGTTATCAGTTATCATTGTGAGCATATTGATAGAGGGCCCACATTAAATTACAACAACAAAACAAAATTACATTTGTATAGCGCCTTTCACGTCGGGAGGAAGCCCCAAGGCGCTGGACAGTCAGAGTTTCGGACCCTAGTTGGGAGTCAGGATTGGAGAGGCTGGAGGGTAGGGGGGGAAAGCAGGGTGATCAAAAGCACGGTGGAAGAGGAGGCTCTTGAGATGGGTTTTGAAGGAGGCAAAGGAGGGGGCGAGTAGGAGGGACTGCGGGATGGAGTTCCAGAGGGTGGGGGCAGAGTGGCAGAAGGCCTGGCCGTCAATTATTATAATGAGCTCCAGTGACTGAATTGTGGCCGATGTTCAAACAGATTAGTGAATTTATCTGAAAAGGAAATAGGGTTAACCTATCAATTTTCGTCCAATTTGTATCCTTATAGCAAAATAGTACAATGACTCAAGGTAGATAGGATACAGGAGTTTTTCTACAACAACTTCAACAACTTGCATTTATATAGCGCCCTTCACATGAGGTAACACCTCAGAGCATTTGTTGCTAGTCATGTTATTCTGGAATCTGAAGGCCCCCGACATTCATCCTTTCATAAACCTGTCAAAAACAGGTAGTGTCCTGTCTGTGAATGAAACTTGTTATATAACTATAAAAATGTTATACTAAATTATTCTGTGGGAAATTCATTTTGCGCAGTAGTGAACTGTAACAATCTAGGTTTTTATTAAAATGAATTGTTACAGTTCACGACTGGAAAATGAATTTCCCGCAGAATAATTTTGGATAACATTTCTACAGTAGTTAAAACATTTCCAATCACAAAATCAATCAACCATTATGCAACATTTCAATGCACAGATATGCAAAACAGATCTTGATTGACAGAAAACGGATGTAATTTTCATTGCATGTACCCTATTATCATTAATTCATCTTCTGGTTAGCTATATGTGAAGTATCTTTCACTGCGGCATTTAAACACTACTGTGATCTCAGTGATCAAGCACATCTTCAAAGTTCAAATGGTCAGACCTGCAGTATTTCTAAACACATTTCATTCCTTAATTATCACCAGCAATAGGATAGACCTTTTGTACCAAGTGAGCCAAATTAAAATTCATAGCAGCAGGAAGTGAGCATAATGGTTAAAAAAAGTCTGATATCTTATTCAATAGATCTAGTGAGTTCCTTGGCCCTCCTGGTAGAACTCCTCTGGAAGGATAGCTATGGGGTCAAACTACATACCAGGACTCAAGCTTATACTCTCGGCTGGTAATTAATCAAGTGCAGTAGTGGGATAGCACTGTATTGTCCGAGACGTTAAGCGGAAATCCATGCTGCCTGTTTTATGTGGACATTAAAGATTCCATGACATAATTTGAAAGTAGAAGGGAGCTTCTCCGGCGGTTGTGACGAAATATCCGCCAGATAAAAAAATGGTCTCTTACCTCATGGCAGTGCTAATAGCTGTTGCATCTGCTTACAAAAACAGTCACTTTCATAATGGATTATCATAAAGTATTTTGAAAGGTTTCAACATGATAACGCACAATAAAAAAATCTGATTGCCAACCTAATCCTTCTCGAAATGAGCAACTTTACAGAGGTGGAATCTTACAGCTGTGGAAATCAGATATAGGCGTGACAAACAAATGAAGATTTTAACGCTATCTTCATACAAAATTAGTCACAAATTAAGTAACCATAAAGCTCAAACGCTTACTTTTATTTGATTTTTCTATTCAAAGTGCACTTTTGATAGTGATGGAGGAGAGATAAAATCCCAATTAATTTTAGGAAGGACAAACAAAAGTGGAATATTTAAGATGTTTTATGAGAAATGTGATGTGTAATTTAATCGCTTATTACATTTTACCCCAACCACGCACAACGCATATCTCAATATCTGTTTTTCAGGAATTGCTTCATCATGGCAAGAGATTCAACTCTTTGGAATGAAATACTGTAATTCACTCAGTTAATACATCCCCCTTTTTAATTTGTAGAATCCAAAATTCAAACCAGATGAGCTTTAAGCATTTTCAATTTCTTCCTAAAAGAAAAATGAAATCTGAATATTTGGTTTCGTAAAATAGAAAGCGACACTTTAACTTACAGGAGTTGGATCTAATATAAGTTAAACAGATGGGATATGTATCCTCTTTTGGACGGATATCCTCTTTCTTCTGGCTATGGTCCAAGTCAACAGAGTTTGGGCAGGAATCCAGTATCTGATAAGGATATAAACAAAGAAGAAGAAAAAAATAATTTTAGCATAATTGCAAAAAATCTAATAATCTCAACAGTGATTATGGCGTTGGGGAAAGGAGAAAGCTTGTGTAATAATAATAATCCTTGCATTTGATATAGCACTTTTCATGTCTTCAGATGTCACTCGCAGTGATTGAAACACTGCTATTGCAGAATTGGAACAAGTGCTGGAGGAGAAGCACTTCATTGTTGGAGGTGCATCCATCCATGTTAGAATATTAATAACAATCCTTGCATTTGATATAGCGCCTTTCATGTTTTTGAGATGTCTCAAAGCCCTTTACAGAATATACTGTAAAGTGAATTGACTGTATATTTATGGGCGAAACGTTGCAGACAATTGCGCACAGCAGTGTCCCACTTGGATTGAGTGACCAAATTATTATATTTTTTAAGGATTATTATCCCCGGAAAAGCGATCTGCCAATCAACTAACAACTGGGTTTCTACTTACTGCTAGGTAAACAGAGGCATGTGGAGTAAGGAAACTTGGCCAACATTTCACCCTGCCGGGAATAGAACCCAGGTCTCTTGCTTGTGAAGCGAGTGCTCTAACTACTAAGCTACAGAACTAAATATCTGGAATGTTAACAGTATCAGGTCTTTCAGTTGGAGAAGTACCAAGGCACTCACTTTTGATTTTAATGCTTTGTACCGTGACAGGTCCATATAATGAAGGATAATTGGAAACATTGATTTTAAACAATAGGAAATAATTAAAACAATTAAAAATAGGAACTATCCTCCAAGTCCATGTGTGCAATTACAGACCATGTAATGTATGAGTTAGGAAAGAATAGAATACAATTTTATGATGACAACTGTAAAAACTGAATTAATTGCCCACCTTCTATCAACACTTAAAATACAGTATCATTTTTCAAATAAAGATCAGACTATCCTGCTCTTCAGTATTATTTAGTGGCAACCAAATAAGAGTATTTGCCCTCTTCCCCTTGCCCTAAAAAGTTCTCTACTCTAGAGGTTTCACTCGATCCTGTAGCAAAGCACATCTTGTACCCAATTGGTTTAATCCGAAAAGAAGAAATATTTTCTTTAATATGAAGAGAAAAATTGAAAACTGGTTCAAAATCTTTACACAGTCACAAAGTTGTGTGCGCTGCTTCAATACAATATTTTGGCTCCCTTAAAAGGATATTGTCTCTTTAAGGTTATGTTTTTACCTTTCTCTTATGTTTGTGTTCTGTGGAATTCTGTAAATATTGAAGAACAGCACTGTAACCACCTACGATTTTACTACTACTACTACTACTGTAAAAGGTATCATTAATAGCCCTAAATGTAAAAAATAAAATAAGTAACCAATTAGAATTACATTTCCTGGTTGTATTAGTGCATTACAGATTTATGGGACTAAGTGCACAAATTTGTGGAAATAAATGTACAAATTAATTGTTTTACGAAGACTGTTTTACTAAGATTCTACAATCTGTCATACAATCTAAATGTAAAATTATTCTACATTTTCATTCTGTTGTGCACCCTTTCTCCCTCAATTCTGGTTTCACCTTCCTTGCCAGCTACTATTCATAGAATCATAGAATTATACAGATGGCCTTGTAGGTGAGGATGAGGATCTTGAATCGATCCTCTGGGGGATGGGGAGCCAGTGGAGGCGAGCGAGGGTGGGAGTGATGTGGTCCGAAGTCTGGTGCGGGACAGTACACGAGCTGCAGAGTTCTGAATGACCTGCAGCTTGTGGAGGGAGGTGGCGGGAAGGCCGGCGAGGAGAGAGTTCTGTATAATTCTATGATTCTATGAATAGTAGCTGGCAAGGAAGGTGAAACCAGAATTGAGGGAGAAAGGGTGCACAACAGAATGAAAATGTAGAATAATTTTACATTTAGATTGTATGACAGATTGTAGAATCTTAGTAAAACAGTCTTCGTAAAACAATTAATTTGTACATTTATTTCCACAAATTTGTGCACTTAGTCCCATAAATCTGTAATGCACTAATACAACCAGGAAATGTAATTCTAATTGGTTACTTATTTTATTTTTTACATTTAGGGCTATTAATGATACCTTTTACAGTAGTAGTAGTAGTAGTAAAATCGTAGGTGGTTACAGTGCTGTTCTTCAATATTTACAGAATTCCACAGAACACAAACATAAGAGAAAGGTAAAAACATAACCTTAAAGAGACAATATCCTTTTAAGGGAGCCAAAATATTGTATTGAAGCAGCGCACACAACTTTGTGACTGTGTAAAGATTTTGAACCAGTTTTCAATTTTTCTCTTCATATTAAAGAAAATATTTCTTCTTTTCGGATTAAACCAATTGGGTACAAGATGTGCTTTGCTACAGGATCGAGTGAAACCTCTAGAGTAGAGAACTTTTTAGGGGCAAGGGGAAGAGGGCAAATACTCTTATTTGGTTGCCACTAAATAATACTGAAGAGCAGGATAGTCTGATCTTTATTTGAAAAATGATACTGTATTTTAAGTGTTGATAGAAGGTGGGCAATTAATTCAGTTTTTACAGTTGTCATCATAAAATTGTATTCTATTCTTTCCTAACTCATACATTACATGGTCTGTAATTGCACACATGGACTTGGAGGATAGTTCCTATTTTTAATTGTTTTAATTATTTCCTATTGTTTAAAATCAATGTTTCCAATTATCCTTCATTATATGGACCTGTCACGGTACAAAGCATTAAAATCAAAAGTGAGTGCCTTGGTACTTCTCCAACTGAAAGACCTGATACTGTTAACATTCCAGATATTTAGTTCTGTAGCTTAGTAGTTAGAGCACTCGCTTCACAAGCAAGAGACCTGGGTTCTATTCCCGGCAGGGTGAAATGTTGGCCAAGTTTCCTTACTCCACATGCCTCTGTTTACCTAGCAGTAAGTAGAAACCCAGTTGTTAGTTGATTGGCAGATCGCTTTTCCGGGGATAATAATCCTTAAAAAATATAATAATTTGGTCACTCAATCCAAGTGGGACACTGCTGTGCGCAATTGTCTGCAACGTTTCGCCCATAAATATACAGTCAATTCACTTTACAGTATATTCTGTAAAGGGCTTTGAGACATCTCAAAAACATGAAAGGCGCTATATCAAATGCAAGGATTGTTATTAATATTCTAACATGGATGGATGCACCTCCAACAATGAAGTGCTTCTCCTCCAGCACTTGTTCCAATTCTGCAATAGCAGTGTTTCAATCACTGCGAGTGACATCTGGAAGACATGAAAAGTGCTATATCAAATGCAAGGATTATTATTATTACACAAGCTTTCTCCTTTCCCCAACGCCATAATCACTGTTGAGATTATTAGATTTTTTGCAATTATGCTAAAATTATTTTTTTCTTCTTCTTTGTTTATATCCTTATCAGATACTGGATTCCTGCCCAAACTCTGTTGACTTGGACCATAGCCAGAAGAAAGAGGATATCCGTCCAAAAGAGGATACATATCCCATCTGTTTAACTTATATTAGATCCAACTCCTGTAAGTTAAAGTGTCGCTTTCTATTTTACGAAACCAAATATTCAGATTTCATTTTTCTTTTAGGAAGAAATTGAAAATGCTTAAAGCTCATCTGGTTTGAATTTTGGATTCTACAAATTAAAAAGGGGGATGTATTAACTGAGTGAATTACAGTATTTCATTCCAAAGAGTTGAATCTCTTGCCATGATGAAGCAATTCCTGAAAAACAGATATTGAGATATGCGTTGTGCGTGGTTGGGGTAAAATGTAATAAGCGATTAAATTACACATCACATTTCTCATAAAACATCTTAAATATTCCACTTTTGTTTGTCCTTCCTAAAATTAATTGGGATTTTATCTCTCCTCCATCACTATCAAAAGTGCACTTTGAATAGAAAAATCAAATAAAAGTAAGCGTTTGAGCTTTATGGTTACTTAATTTGTGACTAATTTTGTATGAAGATAGCGTTAAAATCTTCATTTGTTTGTCACGCCTATATCTGATTTCCACAGCTGTAAGATTCCACCTCTGTAAAGTTGCTCATTTCGAGAAGGATTAGGTTGGCAATCAGATTTTTTTATTGTGCGTTATCATGTTGAAACCTTTCAAAATACTTTATGATAATCCATTATGAAAGTGACTGTTTTTGTAAGCAGATGCAACAGCTATGTGCACTGCCATGAGGTAAGAGACCATTTTTTTATCTGGCGGATATTTCGTCACAACCGCCGGAGAAGCTCCCTTCTACTTTCAAATTATGTCATGGAATCTTTAATGTCCACATAAAACAGGCAGCATGGATTTCCGCTTAACGTCTCGGACAATACAGTGCTATCCCACTACTGCACTTGATTAATTACCAGCCGAGAGTATAAGCTTGAGTCCTGGTATGTAGTTTGACCCCATAGCTATCCTTCCAGAGGAGTTCTACCAGGAGGGCCAAGGAACTCACTAGATCTATTGAATAAGATATCAGACTTTTTTTAACCATTATGCTCACTTCCTGCTGCTATGAATTTTAATTTGGCTCACTTGGTACAAAAGGTCTATCCTATTGCTGGTGATAATTAAGGAATGAAATGTGTTTAGAAATACTGCAGGTCTGACCATTTGAACTTTGAAGATGTGCTTGATCACTGAGATCACAGTAGTGTTTAAATGCCGCAGTGAAAGATACTTCACATATAGCTAACCAGAAGATGAATTAATGATAATAGGGTACATGCAATGAAAATTACATCCGTTTTCTGTCAATCAAGATCTGTTTTGCATATCTGTGCATTGAAATGTTGCATAATGGTTGATTGATTTTGTGATTGGAAATGTTTTAACTACTGTAGAAATGTTATCCAAAATTATTCTGCGGGAAATTCATTTTCCAGTCGTGAACTGTAACAATTCATTTTAATAAAAACCTAGATTGTTACAGTTCACTACTGCGCAAAATGAATTTCCCACAGAATAATTTAGTATAACATTTTTATAGTTATATAACAAGTTTCATTCACAGACAGGACACTACCTGTTTTTGACAGGTTTATGAAAGGATGAATGTCGGGGGCCTTCAGATTCCAGAATAACATGACTAGCAACAAATGCTCTGAGGTGTTACCTCATGTGAAGGGCGCTATATAAATGCAAGTTGTTGAAGTTGTTGTAGAAAAACTCCTGTATCCTATCTACCTTGAGTCATTGTACTATTTTGCTATAAGGATACAAATTGGACGAAAATTGATAGGTTAACCCTATTTCCTTTTCAGATAAATTCACTAATCTGTTTGAACATCGGCCACAATTCAGTCACTGGAGCTCATTATAATAATTGACGGCCAGGCCTTCTGCCACTCTGCCCCCACCCTCTGGAACTCCATCCCGCAGTCCCTCCTACTCGCCCCCTCCTTTGCCTCCTTCAAAACCCATCTCAAGAGCCTCCTCTTCCACCGTGCTTTTGATCACCCTGCTTTCCCCCCTGCCCTCCAGCCTCTCCAATCCTGACTCCCAACTAGTGTCCGAAACTCTGACTGTCCAGCGCCTTGGGGCTTCCTCCCGACGTGAAAGGCGCTATACAAATGTAATTTTGTTTTGTTGTTGTAATTTAATGTGGGCCCTCTATCAATATGCTCACAATGATAACTGATAACTGTAATGATGTAGTCTTTTTATAGAAAGGTTATTTTTCCTTTTCGATCTGAAATTGCAGGAAGATGACTGCTGCACTTCTTATCTTGCTCTTCATACACTTGGTTATGACTTCAGCCTTATTGCAACCAATGAATGACACTGCAGACATGTGGACTAATGGTAAAGTATGAAAGAAGGGACAGAGTTTGCAGCCTCGAACAATCAAGCATTGTTTCTTAGTCTGATATTTCCCCTATCCTCTGAAGGAGGGTGTGTAGGTGGTTAGCATCCTGCAGTAATTGTCTATGTAGGTGTATTAGAAATGTTAATTTCCAGTGTAACACTTTGGAAAGTTTATAATTAAAAATAAAATCATGTGGAATTAGTTTTGCATGTTTAGAAATCTACTAAAACCTCTTGCTATTTACTTCTTAAAATGCAGCCCAAAATATGTGTTGATGTAGCGCAGCTTTCGCTCAACAAGAAAAAGGATAAGAGTGCAACATGTGGTATGGCCAGCTCAAATGCAATAATCTTACAAAATAATGGAATTCACCTCTGTAAGAAATCTGATTAAGATCTAACCACCACATATGAATAACTAGGGTAGTAATTTCAGTGGTTTGACCTTGCCTTACAAATTGAATGGTTAAAATTAGTTCATTCTCAATTGAATGTTGAAATGAGTTTATAGGTTCGTCATCACTAACTCCACTATTCAGCGTTTGACACTTGAATTCTGCAGTTAAGCTTCAATATACCTTGATACGAATCAAACGCTTCAAATTAATACAAAAATTGATTGGAAGTATACCATCTAGGAATTTAATAATCAAAATAATTGGTAGCCAACTCTGGAAAAAAACAGCTCCTAAATGAAACCTGAAATTANTTTTTTTCTCTGTATGATCTTAAATATTCAGAGAAAATGCAGAATAAGACGAGGTGAAATTTTAGGCCATATTATATTTTATAATTTAGAAAGAAATATAACTATAACTTTCCATTGTTAATGCTTCTGACTATTTAAAAACTATTTCTCTACTTTTAGAGCTCTGTATAGACAAGGGAATTTATTTTGAACGCTCCTTTGTTCTGGAACGAGAAGGAGTTTTGTTGCATTGCCCTATGAACCTCTATATAGAATGGAATGAATCCATAAATGTAAAATACAACTACAGTTTCATGTGGTACAACAACAAAACTGCTGAAATTATCAAAACAGAAGAGAAACAGAGAATACATATGAAAAATGAATTTCTCTGGTTTCTACCAGTATTACTTGAAGACACTAGTATCTATTACTGCGTTTTGAGGTAAGTTAAGTTTTCTGGCTCCTTGCTTTTCCTTTCTCTTTCCTTGCTTAAACATACATTTTCTTCAAAGCCATTACTCCTTAACCCACAACATCCCAAGTAACTGTAACTTCAAAATATGTCTCCTACATTAACTCAGTGGATTTTCAAATTTGTCCCACGTGCGCCACCATCCATACAGTGTTACTCTGGAGGTCTCCACCTTGGCATCTTGTCCCCGGGCTGGTTAATTCTCTCCCACCACGACCCCCACTCTCACAGATGACTCAGAGAGGACCATGGCCTTGCTCCTTCCTACCTCTGTGACCTGCTAACCCCATATCAACCTGGCCGCTTCTTCCGCTCAGCAGGTTCTGGCCTGTTCCATGTCCCCCGCCCGATTCGCCCCACCATTGGTGGCCCGGCCTTCAGCTTCTCTGTTCCCACTTTTTAGATCTCCATCCCACAGTCCCTTTGTCTTGCTCCCTTCCTTGGCTCTTTCAAAGCACCTCTCAAGACCCTCCTCTTCGACCGCGCATTCAGCCACCCTCCTGTCCCTACCCTCCCTGTTCTCCACCACCCCTGATCCCAACACCTGCTCGGATCTAAATCCCTGACTGTCCAGCTCCTTGGGACGTTCTCCCGATGTGAAAAGCTCTATACAAATGTAATTTGTTGTTGTCACCATAAAGGCTTATTTTTAAAAAGTTTCTAGCTTCTACAGGCAATGTTCCTCTGTTCCATACAACAGTTTGCTACAACAGCCCAATAAATGGTCTTACGGTGATCTGGAAGAGGCGAGCTAGACCACCTCAAGGCTGAAAGTGGGAATTGCACTCTAAGCTCTTGTAGTTCTAGTCCTTGACCACAACAAACGAGAACAATGCTAGCGGTTAGGGAAAGACACAGCCTGGATTTCCAGTTTGCAGTTCATATATTTTGTGCATTAATACCCATAACTGTTGTGGATTCCTGTAGCTCAGTGGTTAGAGCGCTCGCCTTGCAAGCGAGACACCTGGGTTTAATCCAGGCAGGGCGAAACCTTGGGCAAGTTTCCTTACTCCACATGCCTAATAATAATCCCTCCAAAACAAAACAATAATAAATCGGTCATTTTCAATCCACGACTGTGGGACACTGTTGTGCGCAATTGGCTGCCGCGTTTCACCCACAAATATACAGTCAATTCACTTTACAGCATATTCTGTGAAGCGCTTTGAGACGTCTAGAAGACATGAAAAGTGCTATATCAAATGCAAGGATTATTATTATATTGTTATTCAGTAACCATATACTGTATTAGAAACCAAGCCTGATATTGGATATTGAATGTGTTTGCAGGAATTCAACATATTGTATCAAAGTAGCTGTTTCATTAACAGTTACTAAATCTGCCGACACATCATGCTTCCGGGATACTAAAGCATATGGTGTGACTTCACACTTTGGTAATTCTAAACAGATGAGATGCCCTGATTTGGAGTACTATGAAAATCCAGAGGAAGTGCTGGAAATAAAGTGGTACAAGGTAAAGAATATTCACTTAGTCATAAAAGATACAGTTTTCGTAAGCAGCCTCGTTATTCTTGAGGTCATTCTATTTATTACGAGGTCTGTAGGTTCATGCGCAGCACTGATCACTTTATAGATAGCTCAGTTGCTTACACTCTCAGATCTGGTTCAGAAGGCTGTGGGTTCAGGTTCCACATTGAGCTCACAATTTAGGCTGACATTGCAGTGCAGTGTTGGAGGAATGCTCCTTTGTCAGAGGTGCAATCCCTCGAATTGAGACATGAAACTGAGGTCCAATTTGCTTGTTTAAGTGGATGTTAAATATCTCATCACACTATTTAAAAAGGTGAAATTAGTTACTTTTGGTGGCTTGGCTAGAAATCTTCCAGAAAAAAATGATCATTCACTTCATGACTATTTGTAGGATTGTTTTGCACAAATTGGCTGTCGATATATCACTTTTGATTAATATTATGGTGAAAGCCACAATTTCTGACCTTTAAGACACATACTGGGATTGTGAACACCAACAACTTGCACTTATATAGCGCCCTCCACCCCAGGTGGCGTCTCAGAACACTTAACAGTGGTGGAGCCCAAGGCCGAGCCAGGGGGAGGGGGAAGGTGACCGTAGGCGCGGTTGAAAAGGAAGGTCTTCAGGCTCGACCTGAAGATGGGGAAGGAGAAGGCGAGGCGAAGGGGTTGAGGGAGGGAGTTCCAGAGTTTAAGGGCGTAGTGGCTGAAGGCACGGCTGCTGATGGTGGAGCGGAGGATTCAGAGGACACGGAGGAGGCCCGCCCCAGTAGAGCGGAGGCAGGGGTTCTGCTGTGGGGAGAGAGGAGGTTAGAGAGATAGGGGGATGCCAAGTAATGGAGGCATTTAAATACTAGAGTGAGGATCTTGAAGTTGATCTGCTCTGCATCCAACCCATGACCCGCTCTGCCTTCCCTCACCTCTGTAACATCGCCCGACTCCGCCACTACCTCACCCCTCAGGCTGCTGAAACTCTTGTTCATGCTTCATCGAATCCAGGTTCGACTATGCAAACGCCCTGCTTGTCGGCCTTCCAACCCCTCCCTCCACAGGCTGCAGATAATCCAGAACTCTGCAGCCCGTGTCCTCTCCCGCACCAAACTCCGTGACCCCATCTCCCCCAACTCTCGCCCGACTCCATTGGCTCCCTATCCTTTAGAGGATCCAGTTTAAGATCCTGGTCCTCACATGCAAAGTCCTCCATGGCCTCGCCCCACCCTACCTCTGCGACCACCTAACCCCCTATCAACCCGCCCGCTCCCTCTGCTCAGCCGGCTCTGGCCTGCTCCATGTCCCCCGACCCACCCACCCCACCATTGGCGGGAGAGCCTTCAGCCACTCTGCCCCCAACCTCTGGAATTCCATCCCCCAATCACTCCGCCTCGCCCCCTCCTTAGCCTCCTTCAAGTCCCGCCTCAAGACCCTCCTCTTCGACCATGCCATCGGCCACCCCCCTTCCCCTCCCCTCCCCTCCCTTCTCCCCCTGACCCCAGCTCGGGTCTGAAATGCTGTACACTATTCAGAGTTTTGGGACGTCCTCCCGACGTGAAAGGCGCTATACAAATGTAATCTTGTTGTTGTGACAGGGAGCCAGTGGAGTTTGGCAAGGACTGGAGTAATTGGGGTACGGAGTTTGGTGCGGGTGAGAATGCGGAAGGTGGAGTTTTGAATAAGCTGAATTTTGTGAATAGTGGAGTAGGGGAGACCGGCGAGGAGGGCGTTAGAGTAGTTCAGCTGAGGGGTGACAAAGGCATGGACAAAGGTTTCCGCAGCTTTTTGGGGTGAGGTATTGTCAGAGACGGGAATGTGGTGGAGGTGGAAGAAAGCGGTGCTGGTCAGGGACTGGATGTGAGGGAGGAAGGATAACTGGGGATTGAACCTGATGCCTAAATTGCGCACGGGTTCAAAGCCATTAAGTAAGTCACTTTACAAAGTGTTTATACTTGCTGAAATTCTTTTCTTGTCTTCTCAAGAACCAACTTGTGCTGAAATTCTTCTCTTCCAAAATCTTTTTCATTCCATGTCTGAAAACATCTGTGCAATCTTTATCAAATAAAGCTTATTATTTTTACGAAGAGTGAAACCGCAACACAAGTTGCTATTGCATGATTCTAAAATATACGTATAAAATAATAATAATAATAAATTGGTCACTTCAATCCACGACTGTTTGTGGGATACTGCTGTGCACAATTGGCTGTTGTGTTTCGCCCACAAATATACAGTCAATTCACTTTACAGTATTTTCTGTGAAATGCTTTAAGAAGTATCGAAGACGTGATAAGGCGCTATATCAAGTGCAAAGATTATTATTTTTACCATTATTTTAATTACTTTGTGTCTCATCCTCACCATCAGAAAGTTGCCCACTTCTCCACTGCACCACTGTGATGTTTTCCCTTTCCCAACCCAGCCATATAGAAACAGGGTCAAGGCCACACAATCTCATTTCACATGTCACATGAGAAGTGCAAATGAAGATCCAGTCCTTTGGTCTATTTGATCCCATTCTTCCAGACTAGTCACCCTACCTTCTTCCAATAAAAGGCTTCAAGCTATTTCTTAAATGAGTTCAGTGCCCTGGCCTCTTCCTAATATCTCATTCATTCCAATTGTTGATTAACTTCTATGAAAAATAATCACCCTGAAACTGTGCTGCCTCAACACATCAGAAAGTATTCTAGGTTTTTTTTCTCAATCCAATTTAGCATTTTATGTTACTCTGTAAGGTCTAATTTAAGACATCCTAAATGACCTAGCTCCTACATATATCCAAGCTTCTGGGAATGGAGTGGAGAGGCTTCCCCTGACCCATCAGCAAAGTCCATATTCAAGCAGTGAGGTAGATTTGTGGCAAACATGGGAAGCGACTGCAGGGAGGAGAGCTTCGTCCTACATGCGAAAACACACTGGAGGTGGAGTCTGCTTCACAATGGGCATGTCTATTTTAGTGCAAACCCCAGTGATGCTAACACCTTGTGCCACCTTTCCCTTGTAAAATAAATGGTTGGCAGGATAATTAGCTGTACAAGCCCATGATTATATTATATTATGTGTTCCAAAGTAAAAGGTTGGTTATTGACAGGCAATTCAAATTGTGTCTTTAAACCTTTCACCTTGTACAGTCATTTTGGATGTGCCAATTGGTTTGGTTGTTGGCCAAACATTGCTGTTGTGTAAGATATTTGTGGGAATTTACTCATTTCAGTAAATTCAGAGCTTCTCTTGGCTTGAATTCTCTTTGGATGCTGTAACATTTTTAATTTTTATTTTAGGTTTGTAACCCTATACTGGATAGATCCAAATACATTAAAGATCACTTTGACCTTATAATAATAAATGTGACGAAATCTGATGCAGGAATCTATGTCTGTGAATTGCATTTTCTACATAATGGTGCAAAGTACGTGAAAGCAAAGACCATTAACATGGAGGTTAAAGGTAAATGTATCTCGATTGGACGTAAAACCGGCAAGGCATGCATTCTCTTGAATTAAGTGGAATTTCTTAGTGAAATGCAAGTAGTATGTCAATGTGAAATAGTAACTGGTGCTAGGTATTCGGCTTATTATAAAGCAAATATAAATATTTATAAAATAAATATATAGAAAGACCTACCCATTGTAGTAACATCTGTATAAAAACTTTCTGAGATAATGTATTTTGCTTAAGGTAACTTCATGAATGGAAAGTCGCGGAGTGAGGAAAGTACTTTCAAAGAAAACTGTTAAGGAAGACACCAGAACAAACATGCTCTTTATAAAATAGATAGTACACTTTATATAGTTTCCAAGCATAGAACATGGAAGTGTTTTTGCTAGAGAAGCATTAACTAAACCAAGCGGAGTGCGTCTTGTGTTTCTTGTACTGTATATGCAGATAAATTGTATTTTGGAAATTTTGATGTTCAGCACCACCTATTGGTGTAGGTGTGTGTTACAGCACCAGTTCATCAATGTTTGAAAGCAGAATGAAAGCTATTATTTATCAGTTTTATATTGTATTTGCATTATTTTCATAAGACTTCTTATATACTGAAATCCTTACAAATATTCTGGTATGTTTCCTAACATTTCAATCTGACTGAATCTTATTACAGAGAGACAGTTGTGATTAGTTTATTTTTTAAAGCAATAGAAACGTAAAGCTATTCATTTTGCTGAGTTGTTTCATTTAATATGATTACATTTGAAAATTTACAATTGCTATATTTGGCAATGTGACTAATTTTTAGAACAGTACAGTTACACCTACCAAATATCCCCCCATCATTCCCATCATATTTTTATCAAGTTGAGATCTCTGCTGTTCTATGCTTACATATTTGTAAATAGTCAGCTAAAAGTCTATGCAAAGTAACAGACCCTTAAGAACATAACTGTTGAAAATCTGATGAACTATAACAATTTACATTTTTATTGTATAACAATTTACATTTATTTATCATTTGTACCATACCAACAATTTAAATTTTTATAATGCCTTTTATAATATATAATAATAATAATCCTTATATTTAATATAGCGCTTTTCACGTTTTCTCGACATCTCAAAGAGCTTCACAGAATAGACTGTAAAGTGAATTGACCATATATTTGTGGGCGAAACGTGGCAGCCAATTGCGCACAGCAGTATCCCACAAACAGTCATGAATTGAAAATGACCAATTTATTATTGTTTTGTTTTGGAGGGATTATCATTAGGCGTGTGGAGTAAGGAAACTTGCCCAAGGTTTCGCCCGCCCTTTTATGTTGGGAGAATGTCTAAAAGCACTTTACATCAGTGACTGGGAGCCCGAGTTGAGTTGTGGAGTGGGGAGCTGAGGAGGGGAAGGGAAAGGTCGACGAGATAGGTCTTAAGGTGGGTTTTGAAGGCAGAGACGGGGGGAGCAATAGTTTTCAATGTATGAATAAAGAGCTACAGTGGAAGCCACTTTAACCGGATGTCGGTTAACCTCGGATCCAGCAAAATTTGTTTGTATTCTTACCTGTTTTAAATATGGTGATTAATTCAAACAACAATCCAGTTAATCCAGAAAATGGCGCGCTGGTCGCTGCTGGGCCTACTCACACGCGCGTTCTGTGTCGCGATCGGCTCCATTCAGCCATGAGCAGCTCCAGGATGGAGATGGGAGGAGTCCAATTGCTATTGATTGACAGTGGACTCCAGCAATTCATAAGCGACTTTGGGCTGTCAAATCAGTGAGGGGGTGGAGGAACAGGGAAGAAACAAGAGAGGAAATTGGAGGAGAGTGTGTGTGTCTTACAGCACCAATTGATCAGTGTTTGCAAGTACAATGAAAGCTATATGTACAGTTGAACCATCTTAGGTATCAGTTTATGTTGCATTTGCATTGTTTCAGATAACTCTGGTGTTAACCACAATGTTGTGTTTGTGGTTTTAATCTTTTTTGTTGTTGGATATGCAATTATGTGGTCTATCATAGACACTTGATGCAGATAATAATCCTTGAATTTGATTATCATATTGTCGAGATAGCACTTCACAGGATTTTACTGTGAAGTATAGCGACCGTATTTGTGGTGAACATGGCTGGCAGTTTGCTCACTGTCCCACAAACGACCATAAAGTGAGTGACAGATTTCATTTGGGTTGTTGTTGGCCAGGATAAGTAATCAATAACATAATTGAAACCAAACAGCAGATCTTAAAATTTGTCTTCAATCTGTATGGCAATGTGGATTGAAAGTATTGTTTGAAATGCCCTGACCAGCAATCCCCCAGATTAAACACAAGGTTACTCACTTTGTGTCTTCTACATTAACCTTCAAAATAGAATCACTACATTTTACTGTAAATCGTGTTAAGTGCTTTGAGATATCTTGACAATATGTAAGGCACTTTATCAAATGCAAAGTAGTATTATTGTTATATGTGCATGGAACATAGAGATTTTTTTGTAGAATAAAGTGTATATTTAAAGTTTTATTTTCTTATGTTTAGCGAATTGTAGTTAAATGCAATATTCAATAATATCTTTTTACTGATGTGTCTCAGCAAAATAGTTTGGTTATGAAGTACTTTTGTTTCCATAGGCTGTTCAAGTGCTTTACGCCCAAAAATTGTACAACCAAGCAATAATACAATTGAACTACAGCCTGGTAAGTAAATCTCTTTTAAAAAAAGAAATAACAAAGGCTGAAGTTGTTTTCCAATGTTCTCTTATCTGGTGCTGTGATTATAACTTCATATTACTGGATTCCAATTTCTTGTAGTGTGATATATATGCATCAGACATCCTATCTGTTTATCGTTACTGGATGTGTCTATTTGACTGTTAAGTGTTGAAATGTTTATGATTAAAAAATATTTTTTCAGAATTATCTAGTTCATTCTTTTTAAAAGTTACAGTACCCCGCTTACTGGCCTGCTTCATGCCTCCACCCCCATCCTATCCACTCTACCAAGCAGCCAGGCTTTCAGATCTTCTGCCCCTACTCTCTGGAACTCCCATTTCGTAATCCCTTGGTCTCACTCGCACCCTGCCTCCCCATGTTCAAAGCCATTCTCAAGACATACCTCTTTTGACCGTACTTTTGGTCATCTTGCACCTCCCTAGCACCTTTGGTTCCCCCTCTCCCCCCCCACCCCACACACACACACACACACACACACACACACAGCTCGGGTGCTCAGCCAGCGATGTGAAGAGCTTTAAGACATCCTTCCGTCATGAAAGGAACTATTTAAATGTATCGCAAGATTAGTTCAAATGAAAAGGGCTATTTTGCTCATTTGATCTCATCCCTCTAGAACATTCACTTTACCATCCTCCCATCACAGCTGATTCTTTTGCACTGTAATTCAAATCAAAAACATTAACTATAATAAATATGTATTTCACATTAACTTATAAAGGGAAATGGAGTATCGTAATCGTAACAATATTTATTCCTTAATTAGCATTGGGGATAATTAAGGAACATTCTCCTTAACATCTAAGGACGTTAATGAGTGTTTGACACAGTTGACTGTGGTTCGACACAATCGACCACACTATCCTCAACCACCGCCTCTTCTCCTTCATCCACCTTAGTGGGACTGCACTAGCCTGGTTTGAGTCCTACTTAACAAACCGCCTTCACTTTGTCTCTTCAAACGGTTTCTCCTCCCGCCCCCACCCCCTGTGGTGTACCACAGGGCTCCATCCTCTGCCCATTCCTCTTCCTCAATTAAATGCTCTCTCTTATCTTCATTAATGACCCTGTCCAAAAATATTTTAAAAAAGGTTTTTACTCTAGTAATATTCAGCTACTGGAATTTTAACCCCAACGTGCTTCAGTGGATCTTTAGATTTTTCATGCATGGTTGTACTTTCATCCAGTCAATAGATTGTACGTTTTAAAATTAGCGTAATTTTCTTTTAACTTTCTTTTAGATGACTAATATGTAGCAAATGGTGTTCCAAAAATGTTGTAACGTCACACAGTATTGATTACACTAGAATTTGTTTTTGACAGGCTCGAATCTGAACCTATCTTGCATAGCCTTCACTGGGCATTGTGATCCTCCTGTGACAATCGTATATTGGGCTGTAAATAACACATATATTGAAAATTATTTTAATTACTCGATTCAATTTGGAAATGGGTATGATTTTTATTCTTATTAAAGTTTGGAATGGTACATTTTCATTATGTTTGCTTACGATTGGCAACAGTGTTTAGTTCACTTTGAATTTCTGTACTTGTGTTTCCAGTAAGCACCAAGATGAAATACAAGGCAACTATTTTGAAGCATATGTCTTTTTTCCTGAGTTTAAAGAGGAATATTACGATCTGTTACTTGTGTGCTACGCCATGAATGGTTTGGGGACTGAAATCGCAAATGTTCGAATTATAAAATCACGTAAGTCATTTATTTACAGTATCTTCTGTGGTTTTATAATAAAATTGTTTTTAAGGGCAATTTAGAAGAGCATTTGGTGAATTATAGACTTAATAATAACCCTTGCACTTGATATAGAGGGTTTCACTTCAGGAGGACATCTCCAAGTTCCTTACAGGATTTTACTGTTAAAAATAGTGATAGTGTATTTGGAAGCTAAACATGACAGTCAATTTATATTAAGAATAATAATCTTTACATTTGATAGAGCATAATTCAAGTTGGGAAGACATTTCGGTTCGCTCCACAGGATTTGATGTAAGGTGTGGTGTTTGGGTATATGCAGGCAAATGTATACAGGCATCCAATTTGCATATAGCAATGTCCCACAAACAGTCATGAAGAGAATGACCTTTTTTTTCTGGGGGATTGTTAGCCAGGACACCAACAGAAACTCCCTTCTCTTTGGAATAGTGTCAATTAATAGCCACCTCAACAGGCAGATGGGACCTCGGCATAACATCTCATCCGAAGGAAGGCACTCCCCCAATAATGTAGTGCCCCCTCAGCATTATTTTGGAGTGTCAGCCAACTATATAATCTATAGTGCCGTGTCAACCCATGACATTATAGATCATATGGGTTGCCAAGTTCCGATGTGGGGTTTGAATCCACAACCTTCTCGCTCAGAGGCAAGAGTGTTACCAACTGAGCCGTGCTAACATGCTAGCAGGGACTTTAATGGACTTTACCGTGTTATAATGGGGCTTCACAGAAGTCATAACACGGAAAATATACAAAATGCACACGTTTGTTAGAAATTTCATTTCCTTCTGATTTCTGTTTGTTCTCTTTAGCTCCCAGTTTCCAAAAGGAAATAATAGCTGTATTTGCTGTGTTGGCCAGTGTTTTATTGATCTCGGTATGCACGTACACATTTTTCAAGATCGACATCGTTCTTTGGTATCGTGATATAAATCTTGGAGACTATCACGAAAATGGTAGGTGTATTTTATTTTCCTATTATATACAATAGGCTTCATAATTACATTAATTTTGATATAAGCTTCAAGCTTAGCAAACAAAGATTTTTTTGGACTAGTTTGATCTTTTAAGTACAGAATATTATTTTCAATTTGCCTCTGTCAATTTTATTTAAAAACAACTGCTGTTTTAATTATCCTTGCATTTCATATAATGCCTTATCACGTCTACGAGATACCTCAAAGCGCTTCACAGAATATACTGTCAAGTGAGGCACAACAGTGTCCCACAAACAGTCGTGGATTGAGTGACCAAATTATTATTATTTTCTTTTTTGAAGAGAATGTTACATTGTATTGAGTAATTGCATTGTATAATTTGTTGTCTTTTCTCAATTTCAGATGACAAAATATATGATGCCTTTGTTATTTATCCAAAAAGCTCAAGTTCTTTGGACAATACCAGTATCTTTGTTACTGAATTTTTGCCTCAAGTTCTGGAAAATCAATGTGGATATAAAGTGTTTATACCTGGAAGAGATGATCTGCCTGGGGGAGGTGAGATGAAATTGAGACCGTCTGTGCCTGGAAATCTAAAATATCATATTACAAATATATTTTTTAACTGTGAACCAACTGTATTGAGGCTCAGTTGATTCTGGGTATATAGCCACCAATGCTGATTGTACTAAAGTGATTCAGCCTTGTACAGGGCTCTCCAACTGGTCGATCACCGCTAGGTGGTGCTCTCACACATGATCAGAAAGACAAGAGGAGAGATCGATAGAACTGTCATTATTTAGCCCAATTGAAAGTGAAGCCAGATGCTCGGAAGTATTTCAATCATCTCAAAATAAAAAATAAATGTTATTGTTTAAACTGTAGTGAATTTCCTAGCGACAATCGACCGGTTGGAGTTGTTCTAGTAATAACAATAATCCTTGCATTTGATATCGTGCTTTATCACATTGTAGAGGCATCTTAAAGCACTTCACGGGATTTACTGTAAAGTGGATTAACTGTATTTTGTGGGAAAAACTGTATGGTATAAAGGGAGCTTCTCTGTCCTCGTTTATAGAATGATAGAAATTTCAGAACAGAAGGAGGCGATTCAGCTCATTATGCCTCTGCCATGCTTGTTCCCCTAATAGTACCCTTTAGCCTTGAAAAGAGATGTGTCTGAGATATATAAGCTTTATATATAAAGGTATATAAGCTTTACAGTGCTATCATAAATTTGAACATCTCCACAACTTCTCCACTCTAATGAAAGTACAGTATTTCCAATCAGTGGAAATAAAACAACATTTAGTCTCTTGAATCCTTTCAAAATTTTGAAATCTTTTATTAGGTTATCTCTGAATCTTTTTTTATCGAATATAACCAATTTTAACCCTTTTGCTCTAAATACCAATAATCATACTTGCATTTAATGTAATGCATTTCATTTCAGGAGGATGTATCAAATCACTTCCCATGAATTGTTGTAAGGTGTAGTGACTGTATTTTGTAGGTGAACACGATATTCAATTAATACATGGCAATGTCCTACAAACAGCTATGAGGTTTCTTAACTTTGTGCTGTTCTCCATAGACTATGCTGATTTGTTTGGGGGGAAAGCCTGGTGTCTGACACCTACAGCATACTTAAGAGTATCCAAACCACACTTGAGAGTTCAATGTATGTTACCTACATGGAAACTCACACGTCTGGAATGAAATATGTGCTCTCTCCCAGAGAGATGTACCCTGCTTAACCTAATTTCCGAAGGTTATTAAATTCAGGTTGGCAAGAGATGATAGTTGGTCAATAAGGGATGGACACATATTTGTGAATATTGTGTATGATTTTGAGACAGACTACTTCAGAAATCCTATAGATAGAGAAGATTAATAATCTTGTTCACAAATCTTTTCTCTATTTCTTTCTAGCTTTTGTGGAAACAGTGGAAGAAAATATAAAAGCTAGCAGAAGATTGATCTTTGTGCTGACAAAGTCTTCTGGTAAACAATTGGAAAATACGTTTGAACAACAAATTGGATTACATGATGCATTAATCAGTAATCGAATAAAAGTTATACTGATCGAGTTGGAACAATTAAAGATTGCAGTGAGTTCACAGAATCGATGAGGCATGTTATTCGAAAAGAAGGAACCATTAAATGGAAGGAAACTGAATGGAAAAATAAATCTCCATCATTAAACTCCAGGTTTTGGAAACGTGTGAGATATAACATGCCACCAAGGTCCTCTCGATTGCTGGAGGGTTCATAAATGGTGGAAATTACATTTTTGGGAGTTACTTTCTTACAAAGCCCAGATACATTAAAACCCATATGTGTCTACAAAACTTCTCCAGGTTTATTGTACTGAAAATGAAGTGGATGACAAAACATTTTTCAAATTTTTTTCAGAATGTTATTAAAATCATGTGCAATTTCTGGGGAAAAATTGTTAACTGCCAGCTAATTAGAGATAGTCATGCTTGGCTATTCCATGCTCTGAGGAAATTACACTGTATGAAGATGAAGGGGATGCAGCAGGTACCATGTACTGTAACACCATTTAATTTGGCATCTGCTTATGTTCACGGAACTGACCTGACTCTTGCTTCGTGGACCTATATTTTTGTGCAGTCATTAAGAATTGTGCTGGACTATCCCGTTAAAGGTAGCATTTCATTTTTTTTTCACAGCCTCTTTAATTTTGCATAAAGACTTCCAAGGGCAAATCTAGCAATGTGAAATGGGCCACAATAAATACCAGTTACATGGTATATGTATTTCCATTTGATAAAGTGTCACAGAAGAGGCTTGTGTTCACACATGGTTTTAAAGGCAAAGTAGTACTGCAACAACAAGATTATATTTGTATAGCACCTTTCATGTCGGGGAGGACGTCCCAAGGCACTGGACAGTGTACAGCATTTCAGACCCGAGCTGGGGTCAGGAGGGAGAAGGGAGGGGAGAGGAAAGGGGGTGGCCGAAGGCATGGTCGAAGAGGAGGGTCTTGAGGCAGGAATTGACGGAGACTAAGGATGGGGTGAGGCGGGGTGATTGGGAGATGGAATTCCAGAGGTTGGGGGCAGAGTGGCTGAAGGCTCTCCCGCCAATGGTGGGGTGAGCAACAACAACAACTTACAAATTCACTCACTGCAGTACACAAGTGGAATTCCCTGAGTTCTTAAAAGGCACAGTCAAAAATCAAAGGCAACCAAAGTCAGCTGAATGAATCCGTTGTCTTTCCACTAGATAATTATTTGGGGAGGGCAAGTTTACAGGGCTATGGGGATAGAGCAGGGGAGTGGGATTGAATGAATCCATGCCCTTCATGAGGGTAGCAATTTGGAGGGTGTCTTGGAGCATTGTAAAGAGATGGCTGAAAAAAAGGAAGCGGGGGTTGGGGGGAGGGTAAAGTTAGATTTTTAAGATTGTCATTTAGTACTCAACATCAACAACAACAAATTACATTTGTATAGCGCCTTTCACGTCAACTCACCCTAGAGTCTGCATTAGTGCTTGCTCTTATTTTCTATATAAATAATCTGGAGTTCTACACCAAAAGTCGGAGGGATTATCTTCAAATCCTAATAAGCATTTCATAAGTCATGTGATGCCCATCATCCAAATATCGCTAAGAAACAATAAGGATATTGTTACAATTTAAATAATCAAACTTGTTTCAAATGACTGCGACAAGGTGAATAATAGATTTTTTTATTGTTCTTGAAAATGAAGCTATTGACTTGAGACATCTATAAACAGAATGGGTACAGAGCAGGAAAAGAGTGTTACATGGTACATTAGCTCTGGAAAGCTTATATTGGCTAATCATAGAATCATAGAATTATACAGCACAGAAATAGGCCATTCAGCCCATCGTATCTGTGCTGGCTCTTTGAAAAGAGCTATCCACTTTAATCCCATTTCCCCACTCTCTCCCCATAGCCCTAAAAACTCGTCCTTCCCAAATAATTATCTGGTAGAAGGACAACGGATTCAATTCAACTGACTTTGGTTCCCCCTGATTTTTGCCTGTGTCATTTAAGGATTCGGAATTCCACTTGTGTACTGTGGTAAGTGATTTTGCTTCTCGATGTATGAGAAATGGATGCAGAGAAAGTGAATACATTTTATAAATGTAAATAGCCTTTCCTATGTTCTAAATAAATGCAAGTCGATTGGAACTACATTCGGTACAGTTATTGACTGCCTATTATTTTCATTTCATTATTTTATAATCTTATTTGATAGTTAAGTACTCTGAGATGCTAGCCTGTGTGAAGGGTACTATACAAATGCAAATTGTTGTTGTTACACTCTTAAGCATGGTGATGGGTTTCATGTGTCAATCACCTGACTGACCAATATAAAACTACTACATGAGGGAGAAAAGGGAATTGGAGGGTATAGGGGAGGCCAAGCAGGTGGTGATTATAATGGATAGAGGCTCGTGGGCAGTATAAAAGTGGGCACATTCTAGTTGGACTGTATGGCCTCTTTCAGTGCTGTAGATTCTTTGCATGTTTACCACACAAATATCAATCTCTTCTTTTAATGCATCTTGCAATATTATTGAAATGTGCCATTCCAAAAGCATTTCTAAGTAATTTTAATTGCGGAGTGGGGTCTAACATGAAAAACAACACAGTACCACATTTCTCTAAATGAGTGAATTTACTTTATATAAAACTTTTATTCAAATATTTAGGTTGTATAATTAAAAATTATATTTTCCTTGCTATGCATCTTTCTGTGAAATTACTTTAGAGGTATTTCAGAAATGTCCCGTTTTTTACTTTCACAAAACGTACCCCACAGTCAGACTGCTGAACCAGAGATTTATTGCCCAGATATAGAAAGATATTTTCAACAGTCCAGTGCTGCTGTGTTTTAAGATGTGCATCAGAGCAAGTTGTTTCTGAAAAGATTAAATAATAATCCTTGATATAGAAGCGCCTCATCACGCTCTTGAGACATCACAAAGGCTTCTCAAGGTTTTTACTGTAAACTGTAGTGACTGCATGTTTTGTAGACAAATGTAGCACTAATTTGGGTGTAGCAATATCACACAAATAACTATGAAGTGAATAGCCAGGACACCAGGAAAAACTTGGTTCTTTTTCGAGTAGTGCCATGGGATCTTTAGCATCCATCTGAACATACAGATGGGACCTCAGTTTTACATCAGATAATAATAACAATAATAATAATCCTTGCATTTGATACAGTGCCTTATGTTATTGAGACGTCTCAAAGTGCTTCAAAGAATATACTGTAAAGTGGAGAGACTGGGTATTTTGTGGGCAAGGATGTAAAGATGTAAAGGATGGCACCTCTGACAATGTACATTGTCGTGTCATCTTAGACTATGAGTTAGGGTCCAATGTGAGGTTTAAACCCACAACCTTTTGACTCAGAGCCTGGAACCAGCTGAGGCAGGCTGACACCTAAAATAGACAAAGTGTATTAGAGTTGCAAGTTGTGACAACAAGTTACATTTGTATAGCGACTTTCACATCAGGACATGCACTGGACAGTTTGGGATTTTGACCTGAGCTGGGGGTGGGATCAGGAGTGGTGGAGGGTAGAGAGGGTAGGGGTAGGATGGTGACCAAAGCATCTTGAGACAGGTCTCGAAGGAGGCAAGTGAGGGAGCAAAGCGAAGAGACTGTGGTCCTGGAATCAAGGATGGAGACAGAAAGATAGAGTTGGGTGTCATCCACATACATGTGGAAGTTGACCCCATGTCTGCGGATGAGTCACATAGAGGAAGAATATAGCTATTGAAGAGGAAGGGACCAAGGACAGAGCCCTGAGTAATGCCACACGAGACACTGCAGGGGCTGGAGGCAAAGCCATTCATGGAAACATAGTGGAGACAGTACAAAAGTGATATTTGATATGCTAATTACTATCAGTGATAATTATCAGCATCAAATTATCTTATAATTATCAATGGTGCTAATTAGCATATCAAATATCTGAATTTTCGTTCCCATCAGTGTCCCGTTTGAAGCCGAGTTTCAAGGGAAAACACTCCTCTCCACACAACACACACACACACAATTTGTGGAAGTGGTTCAGCCGAAAGATACTTGAGCATCCACTAAGTTCATTGAACCTGGTGCTGGAAATTCCAACAGTGATAACTATATAAACATACGTGTGTATTGGAAAAACTTTCAATCTTGTCCTGGAGATTTTTCACTTCTTTACCAGATATTCCTAACAAAGCTTGTATCTATTACTGAGCACGTTACAGCTCATTTCTTTCTGTTTATCATGTTCGTATTTAAAATTGAACTAATTAACCTTCTCTCCCCTTTCCTTGATAAGACAGAATGTACACACATCCATTACTTCCATACTTGCTGTCAAAGGTTTGAAATCTTCCTGCTGTTGAGAGTCTCAGGGAAAGCTGTGATACATCTGGTTAAAGTCAACTCTGTACATTGTGATTAATATTGTTTTCAGTCTTCTCTGACTGTTCTAAGTACTTTTCCTCACGCCATGCAAAAGGTTTCTCACTTCCCGTTCTCATAGCCTATCATCCTTATCCTTGCTATGAGAACAGAGAGTGAGAAGGCTGCTGAATTATGGATAGTCTGTCACGTGTAGGAAGAACTGGAGGGGGTTGGGGAGTGAGCAGGGAATTGTCATAATCCATTCTGGACTTGATGAAAGCAAGGATGAGGGTCTCTTGTACTCTTAAAAATACCCCAAATTGATTGGGCAATTAATGCAAACAATGTCTATATTTATTTGGAATTTAATGTAATTACAATTTATATAATCCTAACAAATGTGGGATTGTACAAGTTAAATCAATGCAGAGATGAATTTCCAGTCGGTGATAGTGGAGAGCTGAATCTGAAATGCTTTTTCTCATTTTATAACTTTTTATATTAATAAAGAACGGTGAGAAACTAAGAACTGTGGAGGAGCAAAGGGATTTGGGTGTCATGTACACAAATCACTAAAATCTAGTTCACAGGTACAGAAAGTAGTCAGATAGGTTAATGGAATGTTGGCCTTTATCTCAAGGGCGCTGGAATACAAGATGAGGAAATGATGCTTCAGAAGCTTTAAATCAGCAATTCGTTTTTATTTGAACTTTTTGGTTCAACAAAATGAAACACTGAGTGTTCGCATCAATACCTCCTAGGATAGGGAAGTATAGTTAGACACCTTTGTCTCATCTTGGTCATTCATATCTTCATCATATCTCACTTAAACATTTCCAATACACTCCTCGCTGGTCTCCCAAGCTCCACCATCCATGCCTCAACTCATTCAATACTCTACTGCCCACATATTCACTCCGAATACCTCAGTCTCCACTTGTGATCTCAGAAATGTGAATTAGAAGAACGTCCTCCTGTTGTCTATTTCAATGAGATTATAATATAATACTTATATTGGCATAACACCTTATTGTCATCAAAATGTCTCAAAGCACTTCATAGGATTTAGTAGAAAGTGTTTGTGATTGTGTATTTTGTAGGTGAACATAGTATCCAATTTGCACAGAACAATTGCTCACTAACAGCTATCATCAGCAATCATCATATGATGGTTTAGAGAATTTCCCTTACACAGGAGAACAGAGGCCCTGTGACTGGATCAGGGTACTGTAACGAACGGATTAAGACTAAAGCAATTTTTTTAAAAAAATCGTCAAATAGAGAGTGGTAAATGGGAACTAACATGACACTGAGATCAGAGTGGTAATTGGAAAAGAGAAGTTAATGATATATGCCAACCGATGCAAAAAAAAAGGCTGAATAAAAAAGAGATTTTGTTTAACACAAGAATTAATCTTGCATGTCGTTGTATTGCAATCCTGTGTACTTTTCTACATGCAATGAAAATGCAGTGACGTGAGGGAATTGAAGTGATTGATGACTCGGGTGTCAACTATCAGCGTGGGCTGCAATTGACAAAAACTGTGCTGTTGTTATTGCTGATTTCCAAACCATTACACATCCTGTGTTCAGAGATCTTCATTCCAGGTTAAAAGAATCAACAGGTAATATAACGTTGCTGATCTTTTCAAACAGAACTGATTGCAGGAGATTTTCCTTTCATATTATGTAGTAGTAAGGACAACCAGGAGTTTCGTAAGTGTACTAGATTTCCTTTAATGCATCTTTAACTTCTATCAATTAGAGTATTTGAAAATTTGAACGGGAGATTATTTCAGGACTCTGGTAATCTTTATTACTGACTTTTAACTGTCAGACACAGGCTTGTACCATGAATGGATGTTAGCTTGGATAAATTAATACTGCTGGATTCCTGCCTCTGTGTTAGAAGATTTTAGGTTTCATATAGAATTGTTTGGTATGGTTTTTTTTATTTCTAGACTCCGCGAGCCTATCATTCTCATCCTTGCCTGATCTACCGGCTCCTGATCCCCCAGAGGATCAAGTTCAGGATCTTCTTCCTTACTTTTAAATCCCACTATAGTCTTGCCCCACCCTAACTCTGTGACCTGCTAAAACATTACCAACCCACTCTCTCCCTCCACTTAGTTATGTCTGCTTCATGTCTCGTGCCCTCTTCGTCCCTGCATTGGCGGTCAGACTTTCAGGTTGCCTGTCTCGTGCTCTGGAACTCCATCCCAGAGTTCCTCCAACTCACGCCTTCCCTTGTTACCTTCAAGATCCACCTCAAGACTTGCCTCTTTGACCTTGCCTTCGGTCATCTTTACCTCTCTACCCCACTCCCTCATCGCTCCTCGACTCCTACACCCAGCTCAGGTGCACCCTAGACTGTACTGCCTTGGGATGTCCCCCTAATGCAAAAACTGCTATATAAATGTAAATTTGTTGTTAGGCTCTAGGGGTTGGCAGCACGGTTTCTGTTATAAATCTGTATTGATAAATGGTGGATATCATGTGAGAAATGATCACCTACTGATTAAGATGTGAGTTCACACTTTTAAGATTACAGAGCTGTACAATTGAGAAGGTGCTGAATTCTCAAAATATATAGAAATTAGCTGAACAATTTCGAATAAATTGAATTGTTCTGCATTTTTGTTTGTGAAAGCTGATTATTTTAATTATTGTTTTTGATTGGAAAACTAAAAAGAATGCGAGTGATGCACTATTCAATTTCAGTTTGTGTCAGTTACTTTTTCAAGGTTTTTTTTAACAACAAGGATCCTGTTGTTTCCTAATGTTCTTACATATTATTTCAGCAACAAGCTCAAAGTTACGTGGAGATGGATGTGATGCGTTTGGCTCTGATATATTTTTATCTCAGAAGAAGCAAAGGTAAACATGATGGGGATTGCACTACTGTGTTCTTTTAATAGCAACTTGCCTTTATATATCCCTCAGACTCACCGAACCGGTGTGCAACCTAGGCGTATATACTGTGAAACGCTTTGAGTCATCTCAACTATGTGATAAAGCACTGTACCAAATGCAAGGATTATTATTTTTTATTATAATTAATTTGGTAACAAGTTTTCAATTGTATCCTTGATGTGTGCTGCCTTGTATTTGGGAAATTAACAAATATTATTGTTCAATTAAATCTTAATTCCTCCCCTACCCCAATCCCATCTATGCACAATATGTATAAAAGTCTATGGGATCCATTTCGTTGTTACACATGATACTGGTACTAACGTTCTAAGAAAAGATATTCTATTCCATGTTAGCATTAGAAGGTCCAATTCATAGATGTCCTTTTTCTGGACCAACAAAAGTCTTCAGTCTTGAAGGTGAGCTTTCAGTTCTGAAATGCAGACCATGCAGTGCATGGACTCCAGTCATCTTGAGCAACCTACAAGAGCATGGATATAATATCATCTGGTTTAAAGGCACAGCAAAAGAAGGGGTGGAACTATCCCCGGGAGAAACTGGCAGAATTACTTTTGAAGGACCCTCTGTGAGGTTTTGGCCTGCAATAGTTAATGACACTGGAAACTACACTTGTTCTGTCTTGTAAGTATCTACTAAATGTGTTCACCACAAAATGCTTGATCGGTTGTGCTGCTAATAATTTGTTAAGAGTTAGGTTCCAGAACAAGAACAAGTTAAACTTAAATAGCGCCTTCCAGGGAGAACATCACAAAGACAATGGTGCAGTCAGAGCCTGAGATGGGAGGGAGGTGGCTGATAGTTCAGTCAAAGATCTTTTGAAAAGTTTAAAGGAGAATTGAAGGTAGATCATAAAACATAATAATTTTACATAGGTTCCATGGGTCTTATATCCAAGTTTGCGGATGACACTAAGAGAGGAGGCTCAGCAAGTAGTGAAAATGGGAGTAGGAAGTTACAGAGGGACTTAGACAGATTAAGTGAGTGGGCAAAGCTGTGGCAGATGGAGTTCAATGTAGGGAAGTGCAAGGTCATCCACAATGGACTGAAAAAAGATAGGGCAGAATACTTTCTTAACGGGGAGAAACTAAGAGCTGTGAAAGAGCAAAAAGATTTGAGTGTCTATATCCATAAATCACTAAAAACTACTTCCCAGGTGCAAAACATAATCAAAAAGGCAAATGGTATGTTGACCTTTATCTCGAGAGGCCTGGAATTCAAAGGGGAAAAAATGATGCTTCAGCTGTATGGAGCGTTAGTCAGACCCCACTTGGAGTACTGCGTTCAATTATGGGCACCACACCACAGGAAAGATATATTGGCCTTGGAGGGAGTGCAACGCAGGTTCACCAGAATGTTACCAAGCCAAAAAGAGTTAAGTTACGAGGAAAGGCTGCGTAAACTTGGATTGTATTCCCTTGAGTTTAGAAGATTGAGGGGTGATTTGATAGAGGTTTTTAGGATGATAAAGGGATTTGTTAGGGTAGATGCAGAAAAGCTAAACAATGCAAAACAAGAGGGCATAGTCTTAAAATTAGAACCAGACCATTTAAAAGTGAAATTAGGAAGGATTTTTTCAATCAAAGGGTGGAATCTGGAACTCTCTTCCCCAAAAGGTCGTGGATCCACACCTTCATGAAAGGGATTGACAGATTTTTGGTAGTTCGGAGTATTAAGGAATATGGGGAGAAAGCGGGAAATTGGATTTGAAATTCTAGTAAAGATATAGATCAGTCATGATCTAATTAAATGGCGGAACAGGCTCAACGGGCTGAATGGCCTACTCCTGTTCCTATGTTTCTATGTTCCTATGACATGGTCAGTGCCTGAGGGCAGGAGGTGCTGGTGGAAGCAGAGCAGGATGCAGAGTGCTATATAAGTGCAAGTTGTTGTTTATGTCTCATCCGAAGGACAGCATCGCCAAAAATCCTGCACAGGCAAAGAAGAGCTGTAGCATTCTATGATTCTAAAAAGCCTTTGAAGAGCCAAGCAGACCGAAAGCTTTCCGGGCAGCAATATCAATGGCAAACTATGTGGTTTTAGCTGAATAGACTTCAGCAGTAACCCAACGCACACTCTGGGATCCCCAAGCCTTGGCTCTTGCCAATCCGCGCCTTATGCTTTCCAGAATTAGGTAAACAAGATGTTACGTTAGCTATGTTGAACCGTATCCCCCAGTTATACTTTTCCTTTCATTTTTATAGCAATGGAACTTATCATATAATAGATTTGGAAATAATTTTGGAAGTTAGATCCATGAATGAAGAGTGTTATCATGAAGCTTTTGTAAATTCTGTCGAAGAATGGATTGGATCATCTTTTACATTGTCCTGTTCAGACATGGAGGAGAACAAAGACAAAGACATGGTGTGGTACAAGGTAACTATATTCTACTAACTCGCAAAGCTCGTTCTATTGTGATAATAGTCTTTTCGGCCAAAAAATACACTGTCACCACACTTTATAGTATATCCTGTGAAACACTTTAAGATGTCTCGAGGATATGATAAGGTACAATATCAAATGTAAGGGTTACATTATTCTAATACTCATTGAACTGATTCCAGCTTCTATTATAACAATCCCCAATATACTTTAATGTGAAGCTTTCCATTATAACAGTGAAAAATGATGCCACATTTCAAATACGATAAAAATGCAGTGCTATAGTTCTCTGTCATCATTATATCAAAGAAAGTGTTCACCTCAAATCTGGAAAATTAAAATGAGATTGTTTTGCTTTCAGAACAATTGCCCATTAACATAGCTTGCAGAAAACAGCTTTAGAATTATGGTTAACTTTACTTAAGTGAAGAAAATCCATCTGCCGTGAAACTGTAGCACTTTGTGGTATTGGGATGTCCTCCCGACGTGAAAGGCGCTCTATAAATGAAATCTTGTTGTTGTTGTTGTTGGCTGCCTCACTCTCAAATTATCTTGTTCTGGTAGTGTGGCGAGGAGTAACTCAGTCCTTGTTCATATCACACGTTTGGTGGAAATCACAGTAATTAATGATAATAATCCTTGCATTTGATATGGCGCCTTATCATGTCTTTGAGATGTCTCAAAGTGCTTTACAGAATATTCTGTAAAGTGAATTGACTGTATATTTTGTGGGCAAAATGCGGCAGCCAATGGCGCACAGCAGGGTCCCACAAACCGGCGTGGATTGAAGTGGCCAATTTAGTATTTTTTTTGAAGGAATTATTACCCCCGGAAAAGTGTTCCGCTAATCAACTAGCAACTGGGTTCCTACATACTGCTAGGTAAATAGAGGCGTGTGGAGTAAGGAAACTTGTCCAAGATTTATTTTGTCCTGCCAGGAATCAAACCTGGATCTCTCACTTATGAGGCGAGTGCTCTGGTCACTGAGCTTCAGGACTTCACATAATTCATTGCCAAATGTGGAGTATTCAAATTCCCAAGCCTTTTCTTTTTATCGAGAAGCCCCAACAATCTCACAAGGCTCATGAAGGAAAACTTGTACACTGTCCAGCATCTTGGGACGTCCTCTCGACGTGAAAGGTGCTATACACATGTAATCTTGTTGTTTTTTACAGCAATTTAATGTTGGTTAGCAATAAACCGAGTGTCTGTTGAACGCGATAGGAATGATTTTGCTCATACATGTGTCAAGATGTAACTATCTGTGCGTGATGTACATTATGTTTAACACTTTCAATCCACTTAATACATTTCACAGGACTGTCTGACAAAGGTCCACACAGGAGCTTCATATACAATTAACAAGCTGCAACAGGAAAATGCTGGATATTACACTTGTAAATATTCTTTAGAAAATGCTGGAATTCTATACAACATTACAAGGACATGGAATTTGATTGTGAACGGTACAGGTCTGTTAACTCTTTTAGTATTCACAATATTCTCCCTCACCTTCCAAAATTTTTGTATTTCCCCATTTAAACTGTTCAACCAAACAGGATGTAGGCATTGTGCTTGTGGGTCACACTAAATGGTCTCTGCTGTGTTGTTGTTAACCCACAATCTACCCTAGGTGAAACACTGTTAAAATGCAAGATACGCCACCTAGTTGTTCAGTTAAAATTGAGTTCAAAGAAGTGTTTATGGACTGTTGTACTAAAGCTGCCAGTAGACTTGATGTTAGATATGCCAAGGTCAGAATAGAGTCAATTCTCTGTGGCGATCTCAGTTGTCTGGTGCATGAGTCAAGTGGGTCCACAGGAATCCAGGACATTGCTGATGACGGATCAAATCAGCCTGGGGTCCCAGAGTGGTCCTTGTCAACCTGTGCCTAATACTCTCTGGAATATGGTAAACAGGATTTGTCCCTCTGGGGAAAGAGTGCACATTCTGCTCCATACACAGGAATTTGCATGCATAGAACTCTCAGTTTGTTTTGGTAAGCTTGGTGATGGGTTTCTACATGTATCAGACACCCGGCTGACCAAAGATTGTTGCCACCAAATCCTGGATTTAACAGCAGGCAGTTCATACATTAGCAGGAAATATTGATGCTTAAGTAAAAACAAATCACTCAAAAAAATGGTTTAATTATGTGCTTTTTCTGGCAAGATTTCAATGAGCCCTTGAAACCGGAATTAATTTACCCTTTAGATGAAGTACGCGTTGAAGTTGAATTGGGTGAGTGCTGCTTTAATCATATTTTCCTTGTTCAGGGTTACTCTGTACAGTGTATTGGGACCATAATATTAGACCTTGTAATATAATCAGTCTACATAAAACAAATGGTCACTGCTTCTGTTATGGGACATCAGGTCACCACTGACTTCAAGCTAGAAACACGACTGACTAGTCGGCTACCTGTGCATATGAGTAGGAAGTCATCCATTCCATGCCAGAAGCATAGCTCCCTTCTGGTAATCGCAGGTACTCAGGAATCCCACATTATTGGGACCTCAAAGAGGTGTACAACATTTTAAATAGAATTGAAAAGGTAAACCCATATCAACACAGATCAATACAGCAGAACAAGAGGACATAGGTCAGGGACAGATACCAAGATGTTTTTTTCTTTACACAATGGGTAATCAACAATTGGAACAGGTTTCCAGGAAAGGTGGTGAAGACAGCGACACTAAACTAATTTCAAAAGCAGCTTGATGCTGTAAGGTGGGTGTTCTGGAGGAATGAGATCAGAATGCTCTTCTTCATCCAGACCAAACTTGTGATTTGTTTACATGATTTACCCCTTTAAGTTTACTCCAGTTTCCCTTAAAAAGGATGATTCAAGCATTTATTTTTGAAAATCTGTGTAGTTGTTACAAATATTTTTGATAGGTCAAAATAATTAAAAATTACTGGTTAAAAAAACAATTGATATGTGCTTTAATACAAATTTACTATAAAAACACTGGCAATATTGAGTGGCTTACTGAAGATACTTTTGGTTTGAACATTCAGGTGAGCAAAGGATAATCGAATGCAAAGTTAAAACTAACCACAGAGATTCTGAAAACTTGTGGCTGATGTTATACTGGATTTTTGACAATAATTTTGTTAACAAATGTAGTGAAAAAGAAGTGGTCTGTGAAGATTCTGTCAGGTACGTGAGATTTACAGGAACATTGCTGTGCACAAATTGGTTGACTCATTCACCTAATTACCAACTAGCAACCCTCCTCCTGGGGGAAGGGGAGATGGGGTCCCCTTGGTGTTGAGTGAGCTCTGAGGTGATGGGCCTGGCAATGAAATACTGAAATCAAGTTTATACACAATAGTGGTGTTAGTAATTCAGGTCCTTGAGCGAAGGCTGGTCCACAGCACTCCAGGGCACTGATCACAAGATCAGCGACCTCACACCGGGAATTGAATGTTGGACATTCTGTTGGCTCAATTTCACAATAAGCTGTTGCTTTACCACTCTGCGACGCAAGAAACACTCCAAGCCATTATCCTGCATAAGGGGCACTATACAAATACAATTTGCAGTTTTAATTAAATGTGTCCATCTTATCAAAGGAATAATCAGGCTTTATGTGCACTTCAGGGAAATAATTGAAGAGAACATAACATTTGTTATAAGACCACTCATATTCAACAAAATCCAGTGGGAGCATCTGAATAAAAATTTCAACTGCATCTTTGAGTCTCCAGGAATCAGTGCAAATGGCCAAATCATTCTCCAGCTAAAAGGTACGCTTAATTTTTGTGTTATTATAAAGGTTCAATTACCACAGATATGCCAAAAAGAAAACCATTTTTTTAAGCACAAGATGAGCAAGATCTCAAATATCGGTACAGTGTTAACTATTACCAGAGGATGCAGATTGGTTTCCTTCAGCTAAAGCAAATCTCTTATTATGATAATTATATTAATAATAATCTTTGCATTTGATATAGTGCCTTATCACGTCTTTGAAACGACTCAAAGCACTTCACAGAATATACTGCAAAGTAAATTGACTATATTTTGTGGTCGAAATGCATCAGCCAATTGCACGTAGCACTGCGCTTGTAAGTGCAAAGTGCCTTAGAATGAAAGTATTGAAATCTAATTTAACAATGTGGATAATAACTATAAATAATTATAATCCTTGCACTTAATATAGCCTCTTTCACGTCAGGAGGACGACTCAAAGTACTTCACAGGATGCACTGTGTAGTGACTGTACTTGGTCAGCAAACAATGGCATACCATTATAAGCTTATCTGCATTGTGAGCAAGAACAACACTCAAAGTTGAAAAGGGGGAGGAGAGAACCCAGTTCTTTATAGCTTTGCTTTTTAAGGTTTAACAGTCCTTTTCTTTTTTTTATCCAATCATGGGATAGAGTTTGAAGCCGGGTTTATTTGACATAACAACCATTTCTTGTCAATATGTATCTATGCTTTATGCATAATTATAGTGCTTTGCTTTTAAATGTAGGTCATATCATTCATTAAAATGTATCGTTATTATGGCTATCAGAGAGTTCAAAAGAGAAAAATGAAAACTCTTCTGTTGGCCTAGTGGATAAAGGCAACACCTGGAGAAAGCACCAAGTCTTGGCAGCAGTAATTCAGGTGTTACATTAGTCTGAAGGGAAGGGGGAGGAAAATCGGACAGATTTCCCACTCGGATTACTGTTTAGTGACACCTGCTAGAAGGTGCATGTGTGTATGACAAGTGATACCCTCAATGATTGAATAGCCTGTCACATGGAGAGATACCAGAGAGTGGTAGCTGTTTGTAGAACTGTACCTCAATAAAGTGATGCCTATTCTGTAATGGATTAATACTCTGCTGTTTACAAGCAAACAATCAGAGCAATAATTATGCATATAAGGATTTAAGAAAAAGATTAAAGTTTGTGCTGTACTTAAACTCATACTTTTGACTGACCAGGGCTTTGGGACGTCATCCTGACGTGAAAGGCGCTCTATAAATGTAATTTTGTTGTTTTGTTGTTGTTTTAGCTAATAATATTGATTAACATCATTGATATATTTTATCTAGTTACTCATAAGTTGTTTTTTTTAAATTAGGCAACAGTGATGCAATCGTTTATTCATTAATTCCCATCCTGGTTATTTTCATGTTGGTTTTATATGGATGTTTCAAGAATAAGATTATCGCTTGTTTTAACAAGTGCATTGGCAGAGCTGCAACTACAAAATGAGAGGTAACATTATGAAGTTGTGCATTTTTATTGGTACTGTGTGATACAATAACAATGGTTCTAACATTTCTACTGTATAACTTCGGAGTCTCCCAATAATGCACCCAATATTTAAGTATTTTTGAGTTTAACTAACTTTAATAAAAATTAAGTTTCAGTAATTATACAATTCAGTGCCACTAAACTACTGAATTTCAATAATGCTAACTTCCGTTGATATCCCTGATAACTCAGTTTATTGAAAACCTGACTTGGAACCAGAAGGTTCTGCGTTTAACCCTATTTAGCCCATTCACAATCATTATATCCTTTTGAGATCAATCCTGAAAGAAAACTGAACTGTGGGAGCCAAATCTATAATGGGTCAGGCGATCTGAGCAGGATCATTTACTAGTAAACTAAGCATTTACTTTTTTTTATCATTAACTGACAACATACCCTCAAGTTATAATAATAATAATCTTTGCATTTGATGTAGAGTCATATCATGTCGTCGAGACATCTGAATCGCTTCATAGAATATATTGTAAAGTGGATTGATTGTGTATTTTGTGGGCGAAACATGGGAGCCAATTGCGCACAGCAGTGTTCAACAGTCATGGATTGTGTGAACAATTTTTTGGGGAGGGTGATCCCCCAATTGACTAAAAAACGGGTCTATACAAGGTTTCGCCTCTCCCACGAATTGAACCCAGGTCCTAACGTTTGCGAGGCGAGCGTGCTAACCACTATGTCCTCTTGCTCTGCTGTCTTTATGCATCTTGAGTTGTTCTCACAGTGTGAAAGGTGCTACATGACTATAAACTGCATTGTATCAGAAAGTCTTGTTCTGAGTTTATTTTGTCTAACCCATTTAAAAGCTGGCTCAGTTGGTAGCATTCTTCACTCTGAATCAGAAGGTTGTGTGTTCAAAACCCACGTCGGGATTTGGAATGCATATGGTTAAGCTGATACTCCAATGCAATGCTAAGGATGTGCTGCATTGTTGGAGAAAGAAGTTTCTCCTGTGTCCTGGCCAACAATCCATCAAATAAAGTTGGCCATTCGTTCCATGGCTGTTTGTTGACAAATTGGCTGAGGAGTTTGACCTGAAGCATTATAGGCAAGTCGTTTTGGGCAAAAGAATGATGCAAGCACTTGCCTCACAAGTGAGAGACCTGGGTTCGATTACCAGCAGGTTGAAACCTTGGGCAAGTTTCCTTACTCCACACGCCTGATAATAATCCCTCAAGAAAAAAAGCAATAATAAATTGGTCACTCAATCCCCAACTGTTTGTGGGACACTGCTGTGCGCAATTGGCTGTCGTGTTTCACCCACAAATATCCAGTCAATTCACTTTACAGTATATTCTGTGAAGCGTTTTGAGACGTCTAGAAGACGTGAAAAGCACTATATAAAATACAAGTATTATTATTGTGGGAATATATACTATTGCTAAATTTGCCAGCTTGAAACATATATTTGTAATTATTTTAACACTGTAGATGATTAAATCTTGTTAATTGACTATTATGCTGTTGTATTACTATCCATTTTGCCTTCAATGAAAAGTTAGTGAACATTTGGACTGCTGTAGCTTTACGTGAAATTTTGCTGTTGATAGTACTCATGTAACTTGTTTACTTGCTAGATATGAATAGTGTCTGCCTTTTCTTTATGTAATGTCGTTGCTCTGCCTGGTATAATTGTGTGGGAAAAGGGAATATGCAACAGACCTGTGTTATATGAGAAGTAAGACAAATATATGGTGTCTGTATGTGTATGATAATTAGGTGGCCTTGTAGAATGTTCAAATGAGATGGCCATTGTTAGATGAGGAGTAAAAATAAGGAAACAGTATTTGTGAGGTCTTGAAGGTCACGAAAACTTGTTTGTTCACGTATATAAGTATCGGGCAGTAACTAGCCACAAGTTGAAACAGACCCGAGAAAAAAAGATAAGAACATACCACTTAAACGACAAGAAGAAACTCCTGCAACTACTTCTTCTGTTTCCTGGATTGGTAACAATGCTTTTCTGTAAAATTAATAATGCCAATAAAACATTTGTAACTCATGCATTTGTGAGCTTGATCATCTCAGTGTCTGAATCCAATGGTGATTTAAGTCAACAGCCTACAAAAACACACATTCACTCTGCTTTACAATATATCCTATGTTGAGAAATTCCTGAAGAACACCAAACCAGACCCCCGAGCAATCACCGAGTGGTCCGCGCAGCAGGTAGTTGAAACAGTTCGAAAGGGGAACAACAACAACAACAAGATTCCATTTATAAAGCGCCTTTCACATCAGGAGGACGTCCCAGGACGGGAAGAGGGCAAACCTGATCGGGAGGTACCCTGCAGCGACAGCCAGCTTCGTCTGGCAAAACGCCTCATCACCGGCCTGACCAACAACCATCAGGACATGGCCTGGCTGGCTATAAGAGGGGCCCTCCCCTCAAGGCTTTCATGCACGGTTGAGGTCTGGGCCAGTCAGCATGTTGCCCTTGTGCCGGCTGCAGAGGCCAGGAAACCGTGGACCACCTCTTCCTGGAGTGTTGTTTCACAAAGGCAGTTTGGAAACAGATGAAGTGGATTCTCTCACAGTTCGTCCCTGGGGACCTGCTGTCACAGCACTCGGAGCCTCTTCCCGGGCACTCACAGTGAAACCCACATTGAGTGCCTGGAGGAAACATAAACTCGGTAAAGGAGGCCCTTTGGCAGTCCTGAAACCAGGTGTTCTTCTGGCAGAACGAGGGGATGGTGAGGGCCTGCCTCAGGTTCACGCACGCTAGGGTCAGGGACTATGTACTGAGTGACAAGCTGAAGCTCAGCTCAACCACAGCAAAGGCCAGATGGGGCTTGACCACGGCATAAACTGTCTTGATTTTACAACTCTGTGACGCTGTGTGTCTCTCTGTGTGTGACTGTGTGTGTCTTTCTGTGTGTCGCTCTCTGTGTGACTGTCTCTCTATGTGACCGTGTGTGTCTCTCTGTGTGTGACTGTGTGTGTCTTTCTCTGTGACTCTGTGTGTCTCTTTGTGGGTGACTATGTGTGGCTCACTCTGTGTGGCTCACTGTGTGAGTGTGTGTATGCCTCTCTGTGTAACTGTGTGTCTATGTTAGAGTGTGTATCTCTGTGTTTGTGAGTCTGAGTGTTGTGCATGTCTCCATGTGTTTGTGAATGTCTTTGTGAGTGTGTGTATGTCTCTGTGTTTGTGTGTGTCTCTATGTGTTTGTGAATGTCTCTATGAGTGTGTGTGTTTCCCTATGTGTTTGTGAGTGTTTCTGTGAGTGTGTATGTCTCTATGTGTTTGTGAGTGTCTGTGAGTGTGCACGTTTCTCTATGTGTTTGTGAGTGTCTGTGAGTGTGTGTATATCTCTCTATGTGTTTGTGAGTGTCTGTGAGTGTGCACGTCTCTCTATGTGTTTGTGAGTGTCTGTGAGTGTGCACGTCTCTCTATGTGTTTGTGAGTGTCTGTGAGTGTGCACGTTTCTCTATGTGTTTGTGAGTGTCTGTGAGTGTGTGTATATCTCTCTGTGTTTGTGAGTGTCTGTGAGTGTGCACGTCTCTCTATGTGTTTGTGAGTGTCTGTGAGTGTGCATGCCTCTCTATGTGTTTGTGAGTGTCTGTGAGTGTGCACATCTCTCTATGTGTTTGTGAGTGTCTGTGAGTGTGTGTATATATCTCTCTATGTGTTTGTGAGTGTCTGTGAGTGTGCATGTCTCTCTATGTGTTTGTGAGTGTCTGTGAGTGTGTGTATATCTCTCTATGTATTTGCGAGTGGCTGTGAGTGTATGTCTCCCTATGTGTTAGTGAGTGTCTCTGTGAGTGTGTATGTCTCTCTATGCGTTTGTGAATATCTATGTGAGTGTGTGTGTCTCTCTATATTTGTGAATGTGTATGTGTGTCTTTCTCTCCTCTGTGTGTGTGTGTATGTCTCTTTGTGTGTATGTATATGTCTCTCTCTCTTTGAGAGTGTGAGTCTCTCTGTGTCTGTATGTGCGATGCTGGGCCCTGAAAAGCAGGAGGTAGTGAGCTCCTGCAACCTGCGCTGGTGTTTTCTACTCCCACACCCTCCCAAGTGAGCCAACCCAGTTTTTGTTCAAGAAGAAATTAATAAACAAAATTGCAACAATCTAATGTGTTATTTTCTCTTGTTTAGTTTTATCAATAAAGTGAAAAATGTAGGTTGGCAGTAAAACGTACCTCAATAGCACCAATCAACTAACTCGCTGCAATTTTCTGCAAAATTTGTCAAAATTTTCTCCGCCATTTTCAAATCTCCCTGCAATTATTGGCAAGTATTTCCACACTTTTCTATTGGCCCAGGTTATTAGTAAACTGCAATTGTAGAACTAGGCTCTCCTGTGTTTTCAAAATCTAAGAGTTAAGAAATAACTTTGTTATAGCACTATCACTGGAACAACTTTTTTTGCATTAACTTACTGCAGCACTCTACCAGTACCACATTGCAGTTTCAATGTAGAACTCGACTCAGAACCCACACTTGTAACACTTTACAGTAAATTCTGTTGTGAAAGACGCTATACCATATGCAAAGATTATTATTATTATTTTCTTCCCCATAAGCAAAAGGTTTAGGGAGACTGGACTTAAGATGTATTTAGGATTTAGAATGGGTGGATCTTAATTATGCAGTGTTTCTGTGTATGTCGTAAATCTAGAGATTTCCTTTTACAGATGGATGATTGACAACTAAGAGATAAAAATTCCAGTGCGTTTTCTGCCTTGTGTGACGAACTGGCTTTTGTAATATGGAATTTCCCTTCAGCCCTAACAAAACCACAAGAAAGCAGGGAGATCGAAAGCATGGTTGAAGAGGAGGGTATTGAGGTGGGTCTTGAAGTTGGCGAGGGAAAGGGCGAAATTCGGGGACTACGGGATGGAGTTTCAGAGGATGGGTGCAGAGTGATGGAAGGCCCACCCGCCAATAGTGGGGCGACCAAGGCGGGGGACGTGAAGCACGCCGGAGCCCGCTGAGCGGAAGGAGTGAACAGGGTCGTAGGGGGTTAGGAGGTCGGAGAGGTAGTGGGGAGCAAGACTGTGGAGGGCTTTGAAGGTGAGGACCAGGATCTTGAACTGTATCCTCTGTGTGATGGGAAGCCAGTGGAGTTGGGCAAGGAAGGCGGTGAAAGGGACGCGGAGCCTTCTGCTGGAGAGGACACGGGCTGCAGAGTTCTGGATGATCTGCAGCCTGTGGAGGGAGGAGTTGGGGAGGCTGCAAACAGTGAGTTTGCACAGTCAAGCCTCGATGCAATGCAGGCATGTACGAGAGTTTCGGTGGCCTGCGGTGTGAGACAGTGTCGGAGCCGGGCAACATTGCAGAGTTGGGGGTTTTTGAAGTTTGAGAAGCCTGACAAATTTATTTTTTGCACCAACTACAGGGTGGAGCGAATCAGTAAGAGAGAAACGAGGGCCGACCACAGCAACAACCTTT